TTTTTATAATCAAGTAAGATTGGATGTAAGTGTGAAGGACATAAGTTTATACCTGGAAAATCACTAAGGTCCTCTATTTCATCATGTAGATCTGTCACACCAAGACCTGAAATCGTACAAAGGTCTGTGTGCTACATTTATTTCAGTGACAATGTTTATTTCTTTATGGATGCTTTCGCTGAAAATGTCCTAGAATAATATCCTATATATTTTTTCCTCCTACTTATTTCAATCCCTTTTCTAATCTAGTTCAGCATTATATGTATCAGCACTGGTGCAGTTTGAATTTAGAGTGGTTGGCTTCACTGAAGGTCTAACTCCTGTCCTGTTGTCATAGGGGTAAAATTCAATGATTTCATTAGCATGCATAATCTGCTATAAATAATTAAAATCAGAATTCAGAAAATGAGAATGGTCAAGCTGCTAGAAGAAATACTCCAAGATATCTGAGCACAAATTTAAAAGAAATCCCAAGAGGAATAGAGAACCCTGGAGAAAAATTAAGTTATTCAGTTTAGACATACACTGATTTTTTGGGAAGTGTTCTCAGTGAAACATTGGTGGGATAATGGGCTTCTCTGTATTTTGCTATTCACTTTAGCTCATGAATGTCAAGGGCAGTTTGTGTTTCTTTCTGGAGATGAGATGTCCTCAGAAATAGCTGAGCCATATGACACAACGATGACTCATTTCTTGACTCAACAGAGTACAGAAAGAATAATGGAGGAGAATAGATAAAGCTATAGGGCAAAAAATAGAGCACAATTTCAGTCAGTTTGTTTGCTCTCTAAATGAAATGGGCAAAATTCTGAATCTCAAAGAGAAAGTAGATTATGGTAGCAAATGACATAAACACTACAAACTCAAAATTTCTGTGTAAAACTGCAAATTAAAGGAAAGAAAGAATATTTTTTCACCCACTTAATTACTTGCATGAAAATGAATAGAATTTTTTTTTTTCTTTTTTTTTCTTTTTTTTTTTTTCTTTTCTGGTATTATATTCATTCTCTATTGAATTAAGTCTTTGTCCCATTTAAAAGCCCCATCTTGTTCTGTCAATCTCTGAAGCAGCTATTCAGCAGCCAACCAACACAACAGAATTTCTCTATGCTGAATGCTCTTTGTCATTTTTGCATTGTGTCCTAGCCCCTTATTATAATGGTGCTGCTAGCAGAACTATAGACAAGCATATGTCAATATTTCTATGCCAAACCCAGTTTTATTAGTAGATGTTTGTAACAAGACCATTCTAATTTGTGTAATCAAGATGAAGTTAAAATACAATTATTCTCCATCCTGACACTAATTTCCTCTAAAAATGTTTTATTTTTCTCAATCATTTTTAAAAGATTGACAAAAAAGTGCTGAGGTTTCAAAACTCCATTTTGCTGGCAACTCTTCCACAGGCAAAAGGGGAGCAGAAAGTGCATAAGATACCATGTAGACATTTGTCATGAGTATTTTGAAACAAAATACTGGAGGCCAGGGAATTCCTTGTCATGGCTGAAGGATATTTTTGCTTTCAGAATGTTTATTTTGACCTTGTTCTGCCAAGTAAGAGACTATCTGTAGCTGCAGATGTTTTATCTTTCATTTAAATATGTCTTTTTGTATGTAATTTATATTTTAATTTTCCTTTTTTTTTTTTTTTTTTTTTTTTTCCTCCCTGCAAAAGCAGAGAACATAAATGACAGCTGTGTCTATGCCATGTCTATTTTCAGGAAAAATATTTGTTAGTGACCATGGCAATGAGTGTGAAGGGAAAAGATAAGCTTGTAGAAACTATGGCCTCATTTACATACTTATTTTTAGTAAAAACCAATTCTTTCATCTTTGTAATGACTTCACTGCTTGCACAAGGTGAACTAAAAATAGAGTTTGTTTCTCCCTTGGTAGTGTATGGCAATGAACTGTACTGCAGCTGTCCAGCTTTCAAATCTGCTGAGTTTGATGTCCAGTGCTCTTGACACGTGCAGACTTTATAGGCTCTTCTGAAATAATCCTGAAAGTTCAACCAGTGACCAAAAGCTTGTTTGAATTCCATGTAATATTGAGCTAGATTTTCAGAGAACGAGGCATCTTTTTAAACGCTGAAATGAGTAGTCTAAAGTAAATTAGTGGCATGTTTTTAGCTTACAATGATGGTTACAAATACAGCCTTACAGTTTCGTGCTGCAAAGGAGCTCTCTTGTGTCCTCCCTCTTATCTCCCTTTTTCTTTCATGTACCCATCTGCATTTGTCTTGCCCTCTTCCTTGCACTAGTTCAGATGGCTTTTGGCCATTACTGTGAGCTGATTTATCCACTACCTAAGCAGGCAGTTACCTGCATTTTTGCTGACTTTGTTTCCTTTTGAGCCAGTGAGCTGACTCAGTTCAGACAGGCTCTGATAGTAAATGGTGTGGGAACACAAAACCAGGTGCACTGAGACAGAAGAAGGGATCTGCTGCTATTGAACTGCTGGGTCATCTCACTTTGTTTCAGTGAGCTGCACCCTATCTTAACTGCAGTATTTCAAAAGTGTAACTAGTGCCATTTCTTCAACGCATCTGCCAGAATTGAAGCTCAGGTCCTTATGTAACAGAAATTTGAAATACTTTCTTGCTTAACACTGTTGTTCAATCTCATAGCCTTAAAGAAGTGGCTTGTTGGTTGGAGCTGCCCTTCAGAAGAGTGCATGGCACCTTGCCATGCAGCCTGGGTGATGAGGCTCACGGTGCTGCTCCTGGACATGCGCAGCATCATAGCATCATGTGCTACAATTGCATATCCAAGGCAGTCTGTTATTAAAAAGGTTAAGTAGTTTCTCAAACTTTTCAGCTGGAGAAGCATGTTAGACCTGCCAGCCTAAACTTCATGTATTTTTTTCAGTAGGTGGAAGAGGAGAGGGCTTCTGCTTGAAATTTCACCCATGGATAAATGCACACCAGGTGAAATTTGCACTTATTCCTAATTTTTGTCTGAACTTTGCACTAAAAATCCCCAAATGAATATGAATATCATCTTCCGTTCACAAATTCCTCTTTATGCTTCCCCACGGTAGTAAATTTGACTCCTACTAATGGCAGGTGAAACTGCTCTTCACAGAATAAAAGAGACTGCATAAAATCTTTAACTCTTTCTTGATGGATTGGTGCAACTATGTGTGAATGCATGTGTTTAAAGCTTCATTTATAGTTTTAATTAAGAATTCCATGTGCTTTTTTTGGTGTATGCCATTGCTTTACCACAGAATAAAGCTCTCTCTTCGGTAGGCTGAAGAAAAAGAACTCTCCCAGTCCTCCCCCTCTCACTCAATGATACCAGTCATCCCTTCTGCGTGTGTTGTCGTATAACTTCATTTTCTCTGCCATGGCTGTCCAGAACTTTACTTAAATTCTGGATGACGGTTTCCCAGAATTACAGTGTGAATAGAATTTTTACCCTGAGCAGAAATGATAGAAATAGAAGAAACCAAACTGTAGGGCATGAAAGCTTTCCTATTTTGACTATATTTCCTTGAGTTTTTCATAGGATCACAAAAGAAAGGATGTATGTTCAGCATACTGGATAAGGCCTTATCTTGCCTTTTTTGACCCTTTTGTTTCCAAGGGACAAACTTGCAATTTATGCATAAATTCCTGCAATAGAGTGTTGCTCTATATTAGTTTGTAATGTTAGCTTGTTTATTCCACCCACCAGCCTGTCTCTGAGTTCATATGGTTCAAGAAACTACCATGTTCCTCCTATGAAGACAGATGAAAATGCAGAGTGAGGTACACATAGTGTGACCAAACATCCGGAATGTACAGTATGTGCTTGACAGTAGAAATTGTTACCAAAATACCAAAGGAAATTGGATGATACTTTACCTTCTACCTGCAGTGTTTGTTTATTTTTGCATTTATCAATATTTCCAGTTGTGTTACATAATCATTTTTTTGTGTTTAATGTCTTAGAAAATATGATTTTTTTTCAAGGAGCTATGTTCCTCTCTTTTAAGTTAGCATACACTGCTATATTGCATTAAATGTTCATTGCTGCTTGGCAATTTCAATCAATCAAGCAATGTCTCTCTATTCTGTTGTACTTACTACTAGTGGAAAAGGGCTCATTATTCTGGATTGAAAAATTGAGAATATAAACCCTGCAGAAACCACTAATTGATTGACGTGAAGTAATGCTCTGTAATAAAACATTTTTTTCCCAGGGAAAAAAAATATTGCTAATTCTAAAATTGCAAAATATATAAATTTTCAAAAATAATTTTTGAGAAAGAGTATTAGAGGAGTTAATTATTATACAAATACAGAAATGGAAAAAAAGCAAACAACAATCAAACACGGAGAGTTTGTATAACCATTAACCAAGCTATGGTAAACCATTACTTAACTCTGACTTAAGAGATCCATCATGGGATTCGTGGCAGTCAGATAACTAATGCTTAAATAATTCCACAGTAATTTAAACCTGTGGTTAATGGCATCACTCAACCAAGCAGTCTTAGTCTCTGCAGTTATTTTTAACTGGTATGAAGTTATGCTAACTCCCTCCTCCCTCTCCCTGCCTACATGGCAAATGCTAACAAGTCTTTACTAGCTGTATGACACAGTATGAAGACCTTTTCTGAAGTCCAGGCAGATGATATTCACTGTATTTTTTCTTGCTGAAAAAAATATTTCTTCACTCAAGAGTGGTGTCAAGTGAATCAGGTGCAATCTGCCTTGGCTGACACTGCATTTAATCTTTTAATAAAGATATAATTATTTACATTTATTTCCTTGTTTTTAATTGTATTTTACAGTAAAAAATGTTCCAAAAGACGGTACATTATTAGGATCAATTTATCAGTTGCTGACTATCCAATTTTTTTTTCCCCTGTACTCTCACTGATTAATACCCAGTTAAATGAGAGAATGAGGTGGGTGGTTGATATGACTTGACGAGTTGCATAGGGTGGGCAGAAGTTGACTGAAGTGGGCATGACCTTGGTGGCCCTGGTGAATGTGGAACAAGAGAGTGACAGAAACTTATTTAGTATTTTTACTTCTAACCTGAGGATCAAGAGTGGAAGTGAACTGATAAATTATGCTAGTGACACAAAGCTGAGTGGCATTGCCTTTGCAGAGGAGGATCAAAATATCACACAGGACCAGCTGGATCACTGAGGGCAGAAAAAAAAAAAAAAAAAAAGGATGAAGTTAAATAGCATAAAGTTCAAGGTCACATAGTCTCAGACCAGCAAGAATTTCTGCCAAGAATTAGCAACCTGTGTCTTGGAAACAGCTGAAGAGAAGGAAGAGACTTGAGGCTACTCTCCCATCGCAGGTGAGTATGAAAATTAAATTTCTTCTGTGTTTTGTTTGGCAGTAAAGTCACCTCTGTGCCTTTCCTCCCACACTGCATAGGGCACTCGTTCTTCTCCCCATGCCACAGATTGCTGCCTCATCGCCAGTGGCAGTGCAGTGGGATCACCCTGTAAATTAGTGTGAAAAAATAAGTTGAAGCTGTTTCAGTTGCAGTAATTCCAAAATTCATTGTGAAGTAGCAGTACATGTGTGGGGGCTGTATCATGGGGAGAACAGTGTGGGCAGATGTGCAAGAAAAAAATGATGCAACACAAAGGAGGTGCATGAGTGGACTACGAGGCAGAGAGCTTATGTAACTACAGGACACAACACCTTCCTGAGTAGTTTTGCTTAGTAAAATGAAGTCTTACAAAGGACATGATTCCTGCAAATATAGAGGGGCAGAGAAGAGAAAATAGGCACAAACAAGGGAGAGGAAAAAGCTATTTAAAATGTTGGAAATTGTTAGTCTGACAAGTAGATCCAAAGCAAAATTTATTTAACACAGGTATATTTTGCCCTGCAAACATGAATCGGGTTTCTAATTACCAGTTCTGCAAACTGGAGAGCTCTGGTCCAGAAACATTTGCTTTGTGGAACAGAAATCTATTAATTTCAGACTGCAGATTGATTTGTTATGAAAAAGTATTTGATATGATGGTACATAGACACAAACTGTGTCTCAGGAGGCTCCCAACCCTACGTCCCTGGGCAGCAGAAAGCGTTTGATGGAGGCAGCACATGGAGGACTGATGTATAACAAGTATCAGACAAGAGCTTTTTTGTGTTGAAATTCAAATTTCTGAAGAGGGTTTTGCTTTCAAATACATAAATTTTCCAGTGAACACCCAGAGAACAAGATCTACTTCTTTAAGAGCAAACTGAAGTCTTTAATATAGGGGTGGCTGTAGGTGACATCAGTAAATAACAACACAATATTTTCCGCATCCTGTGCATTTTCTAAAATCATTATTTGTTTTTCCGTAGAACAGCAGGTACTTAGAGATTCTGGAAAAGCAGTCAGTTTAAACAAATGCTTTTACACAGCCAGCAAGGCAGCACAAAAGAGCTTACACAGAGAAGATGAGACCTCTTACACTGCCTCTGACATCCTGCTGTCTCCGAGCCCTGGCCAGTGACCATGTGAGCACCAATGAGAGGAATTGCAGCGCTCCACTGTTGTAGCTGCTTGATCTTGTGACTCTGCTGATGGCCTGTCCAGAGCACATCTCTGAATGAGCAAGTGGTTAGTGAGGAAGGACCCACCTCACGTAGTCACTGTGTGGATTGAGTTTCACCTTTCCGCAAACACCAGGTGCTTTTCCAAACAAGGAAGAAAGTGGCTGAGCTGGCTGGGCTGCCACATGGAAAAGGGAGGGCTGGAAAGGCAGAGACAGAGAGAAAGATGACATCCTGGTGTTATTACAGAAGGGAGGGTACGTTAAGGGTCAGCATTTATAATTGTCATGTTACATCTTGAGATTAAAGTGTTTGAAAATTAGTTTAAAATCAGTTATTGAATAGAAAGGGCTGCAAGGGAAAGCGCGTCATTCTTCATTACACAGGCCTGAGATGAGATCCACATCAGACATACCACATAAATTCTCCCAGCTGCACATGCTTGTGGCCAGAATGACAGCTTGATACCTACCTACGTGTCAGTCAGTCCCTTTACCCCAGATAAACTCTTGCTTCTGCGGTATCCTTTGCTTCAAAGCAATGCTGACAAGGATTTATTGAATTAACCTAAATGGCTTTAAGCCCCAATTCATGCTGGTGCAGCATGTCTCTATCAGGGGTTTGCACTGGTATAACTAATTGATTTAGTTACAGATGGGAAAATTTTCTTAACAAGAGAAGGCCTAAACTGCTGGCCAAGCTGCCTTTGTTGTTTGCAAGTAATCTCCCTCAGCCTGTTGTTAGCATAAATCTGTTCTATTTTGGATTCCCAGAGAGCTAATTTGTGAAAGAGTCACACAATAGCATGGTTTACATTTCCAGCTCCTTTTCAAAATGGGACTGTAGGATTTAAAAAAAAAAAAAAAAAAAAAAAAAAAGACTTTTCAGGAGTTGTCTGCACTTCTGTGAATATTTTATTGCCTTCGTCTCAGTCCTCATGTATTTTGTGGGAGAGCAATTCATTTAATAAATGAGCTTGCTCTAATTGGGCACAAGGGCAGAGTGTGCAGATCTGTTCCCCAAGTGTCTGGGCTGGAAGTACAGCACCCTTTGAATCACCATCCTGAAACAAAGAGTTATATCAGCAAATCTTACATCTGCTTCCTTTGGTTATCTTCTCTATATCCAATGTGAACTTTCTCTTGTTCTTGGTGCTTATCTGCCCATATGAGCACAGCTGAAAATCTCTGCACATATTTGAAACCAACAGGATGAAATCCAGGATGGTGCTGCAAAAAAACCCCATGCTTGTGCTCACCTGAATGAAATTAAACTGAAAAATAAAACACTATTTTTTGGAGGATTAGATATGATGTGCATGGTTACATAAGTCAGCTATGGAGGCTTGTTAGCTATGGTTTTGGAAACTGGGACATCGAGATCTTGGTCCTATTTGTTTTATACACACAGCTGTAATCATAATTAGTAACTGAATTTTCCTGTTCTTAAAAGGACATTGGACTTGGGACCATTTGTGAATTTTTATATCTATTTATCTTCTTAGGAGAAGAGTGCTGAAATCTGGAGACAGTGACACAACTTCCAGTGGCCAAACAGCAGTCATTATCGCTCCTCAGAAGAGAAAGTGTTGTAGGACACTTTTTATGCAGGATACTGTGGAGCATTAAGAGTTACTTTAAACTTTCTTACCTTTCCAGAAGTTGTTTCATTTCATTATCAGCTTGATTATACTTCAGTTCTAGTCTTCTGCATTGCTCCAGCAATTATGAAATAAAGGTGGTATGACTGAATAGGCCCAAATGGTTTGTCTTATTTTAGAGAGTATATAATAGTCTCTCACAGAGGTCTCTGTCACAGTGAGAATTCTGTTTTCCTTGAGATCATTTATGCTCTTTGTGTATTTGAACAACATCAATTTTGCAGCCTAATCCAAAGAAGTGCTGGGAAAGTGTGGTATTGCAGAAGCTGTTATAGAGAGATTTTAAGGTGAGTACATGATGGTAATATTTTCTTTGCCTAGATCGTTAACCTATGTGCCTTAAATAGTTTTCATGCATCCAGAGAATTGAAGTATAAAAGATTTTCAAAAGGACATAAACAGGGGTAAGGGATTTTTCACTATGCTAAGTAGTCTCATTGCTGCCTTTTTGCTAAAGCTAATTCAAAAGAAAACAGTATTTTCACATTGAGAACAAACAATTCCATTCTCTGAGACATATTGTTATGGCCACACACTTTTTTCTTAGTTATTATTGTAAAAAGACAGATGTGAATAAGAACTGCAATTCTCAAGGAAAAAAAATGTCACTGCAGCACAGAAATGTGAACTTTTATCATAGTTTTGTGTGTGGCAAAGACTTGGAAAATTAACTCACACAGTGCTTGATAGCTGTTGAAGGAATCAGCACTCACTCTGCCCCTTTTACCAGAGCTGAAAGACCACATGTACCCTTTTCAGACAGATTTCACATTGCTGTTCAATTCATATCCTACATTTTCAAAGTAAACGTGAAGAATTTTCTCAGTAGACTACACAACAACTTCAAAATTTATTTATTTGTCAATGAAAATCTTAACATATGTAGCTCAGAATTAAATTCTCTCTGCAAAGTCAGTCAAAAATGGCAGAAACAACTCACTTATACAATTTAGATATAGATTTTATTTTTCATTGCAGGAAATGTCCTACCATTTTAAACAATGCTGACAATTCTTCAATGCTTGTGTGGTTTGTACCACCGTTTTTTCACCGCATTACAAATGTGTATAGAAACTCTTGAGTTATGGCCTTAACCACACATTGGTCACCTGAGGAAAGGACTGAGTCAGCTGTGGGAGCACAGGTAAAGGTAATTACCTTCTAGACTTCATTTAAGGGGCTGACTGCCACTAGGAAGCATTTCTTTCTGAAGATCCCTCCTCTGTGGAGTCTTTCCTGCAAACTTAGATCTTAAGATACAGGTGAGCATTCCTTACCTGTTTGTTTCTTTTTCTCATTTTCATCACGGTAATCTTTCTAACTGTAACACCAACTGTAACAGAGGGTCTCTGGCAACCCAACAAAGTTTGGTGCTTAGTAGTACATCAGCCAAAAGTCAGGCACTGGTTGAAGGAACAGAATTCACAGTCATAGGCATCAATATACTTTATACACTAAACAATGCAGTTAGGCTCTAGTGATGGGATTTACAACAACCAGCATGGTGAGAGGGGAAGATCTAAGTCAGGCAACAGTATAAGACATTTCTCCATCCATCTGTAATTACACCAGCCCCTCTAGCAGTTCTTCTACATCTCAGCAACTTTAGTTTCTTCTTACTTTTCCTTTTATTCCCTGATTCCCATGTTCTCTTTTTCCTCAACTCTTATTCTTTCGTACATTCAGTACTGAATAACACTCTGAGGGAGCTTCATTATGCAGTTGTGAAGTTGCATGCAAGTAAAAGTTCAGTGGTCTCATGGAGTTCACAAGTAGCTCCACTTTACAGATGCTGTCATTTCTCAATCAATCACCCATTCTTTTTTTTCTTTTGCATATATTTTTTTCAATTACTGTTGTGTATATTAATAATACGCAGAGGTTGGTGATGCACTGGAACAGGTTGACCAGAGATGTTGTGGATGCCCCATCCCTGGAGGCGTTCAAGGCCAGGCTAGATGTGGCTCTGGGCAGCCTGGTCTAGTGACTGGTAATCCTGCCCGTGGCAGGGGAGTTGAAACTAGATGATCTTTGTGGTTCTTCTCAACACAGGCCATTCTATCATTATATGATTCTATGATTCAAATGTTATAAAAAGTGTGACAGCTTCCATCCCAGAATTTTTTTGGGCTCTGCTGTGGGCTTGATTCCAGCAAAGAGGAAGGTATGCTGGTTGTGTTACAACTTCCCAAGCACAGGCTATGTGCCATGCTGTGACTCTCCAGGCAGGAGATGCAGCTCAAGTCCTGAAGTTTCACTAAAAGAACAACTGATGTTAATTATGCAGGCACCAGAAAACACTTTGAGAGTCAGTTTGTGGTTGTTACCCCTTGTTGATCCACATTCTGTCTTTGAAATAAATTCTAGTCTCTGCAGATCTGCATGAGAAAGAAGATAGAACTCAATATGGAGAAAGCTGTTAGGAAGAAAGCACAACATCCAACCTGTGGTGTGTGGTCTGCCTGCAGCCTGGTCCAGCTGGCAATGTGGCTGCCCATATCCACACTGTACAGCAGCAGCCCTGCCTGCAGTTGTGGGCTCAGCAGCGACCACAGTGTGCTACCAGCACTGTGCCGGCTGACAGCAGGGCATGGGGAGGGCAGTGCTGACTCAAGTGATGGCAAATGGATGTTTGCATTTTGATACGTTGGCTAAACACCGTGCTCTGCGAAGAATACACAGCTGTGCTTTCTGTTTTGATAAAGGATTTTGAGAATAGGTTTCAAGATTGCAAAAAAAAAAAAAAAAAAAAAATCATTTTATGTTTGTGACGCTATTTTCTGTTGATATAAATACATTGCCTACAAATTCTCAAGTGGAATGCATACAGTTGCAATCAGATCTTCAGCTCAAAAATCTGATCATGTCACTTTACCAGACTTTCATAATCCCTCTCTTACCAGAGAGAAACATCCTTCACTTCACAATCACACCTCATTCATGTCATCAACTATTGGCAGTATGTACATTTGTGAACAACTGTTGAGGGAGAAGCACAGGAAGAGTAAAGTTCAAAAATCTGATGAACCCTTTGAGACCTCACTAAGAGTTGCAACCACTGCCATCAAGCCAGCTGATGGGTTAGCTGCACAAAATTGGGGTCAAATATCCCAGTAGTCTTATGGTTTTGTTCCTCTTTAATAAATAGAAATAGGAATTAATGTTTGTAATTAACAAAATATTTTATCTATATTGCTTATTTTACAAGGGCTGCTCCTATTTTATGATGTCTCACAATGTCAGAGACTGATACAGTGGCAGAGGTGGAACCTTCCCAGGAATGTTCCATTATTTTTTTTTTTTTGCTGTGTGAGAGATGGCAGCAAGAGGGGCAGTCTGACAAAATGGTGTCTGACATGGAAGTGAGTATGAAGCAAAGATGTGTTGTTTAATTCCTCCATGCAGGAAAAAATGGCACCCACTGACATTTCATTTACTGAATGGATATCAAACTGTGGCTGTGAGCACAGTGACACTTTGAGTAGCGCGTTTCAGCTATGGAGGCAGTGGGTCACCTCTGCTGGTACAGACTTTTATGACTGTGGCCTGTAGGCTGTTGTTCATTGCAGGTGAAAGTGCATAGCCAATGGTGGTTACTATATTGAAAAAGTGTGTTTTTTGTAGCTGAGAATTTGCTCTATCAAATAGTGATATTGTTCTCTTTTTTTTTCTGTTGTAGTTTCCATGGAAATAATTAGTTTACTTTCAGAGCAACTTATGGATATGTTCTTCACTCAATGCAGCCCAGGCAAGCCAAAGGGTTGGACACCCATGAGCCAGAACAACTCTTCCCTTTCTCTCATGATCTTTTGATGAGACAAACACTCCTCCTGTACCAGGGAAGCACAGAGTTGATTGACTTGTCAAGTCAGTGAGGGCTTCTTTACTGGGATATTAATTCATGCTTTCTGAAGCTCACTGTAGCATCTGCTTCATCAAGCACATCTTTCTAGTAAAAAATAGTTCTTTATTCCTAACCTATGGACTATAAATCTCCTAAGCTACGTCTCTGGGTACCTGTAAAATTGCTGAGTAAATAAGGAGCAGAGTCATCATCAGAATAACAACAATAACATTTTTTGACTACTGAACTCAGCTACATGCTGTGGATGTGGGTTTACCAAAGAGACTGACTATTGCTAGCTTCCTTTCTGATGTGCAGATTTCACATCTCAATTGCACTGCCTGTAACTGCTATATTAATATACTGTATATTTTAATACATATTGTATGATATCTTAGGCAATAACATATCGATGTGAAGTTCCATAAAACATGCTGTAACATTCTTTTTGAAAAACAAGATAAAATGACACTAAAATAAAACTGAAGGATTTATACTTGTTTGAACAATGGTTGTGCCTTTGAGAAGCCAATAGTTATTATGTTGAAAAAGGTAAATCTATAAATAAGATTTAAAGAACACAGATGCATAAAGCACAGAGGAAAGAGAGTGGCTTCCTGGAGTCTAAATGTACCTGCCACTTGCTTACTTCTGATCTCAGTTAACATGAGTAAATTAGGTTGCTGCTTTTCATCATCTGTTCTCAGATTGGTGTCAAGGACTACTTTAGTGTCTCAGAACATGTTTTATGTTAGGAATATATGACCAGTGTGGAAGTGAAAGAGGACCCTGTTGGCACCACAGGCATGTGTGGAGGGAGAGGGCAAGAGTTTTTAGAATGAACTGAATAGACCAGCTGGAAAGTAACTGGTCAGTTGAACAGATGATATTGAGAAGAGGCCATCATAGGAGATGAGGAAGTAATTTTGTTAAAATGTATACTCTTATCCTATGAAGGTTTGTTTATATATTTACTCTCATGATGACGAGTAACTTTCATGACTTCATTGGAATTATTGTTTAAGATTATCACATGCTTTTCATCTTTGCTGAAGACAGATTTACAAAGAAATAATTGTCAGAACGTTTTTCATCTTACAGTCAGGTGCTGCCTTGGTTATGAAATTGATAACATTGCCTATCACAGAATCATAGAATCGCTCAGAACCTTAAAGATCATAGAGTCCAACCACGACCTATCCATACTACCCTAATTCTAAGAACCCTCTGCTAAATCATGTCTCTATCAGTATACACTGGATACTGAATCTTCTTAATGAGAACCAAGACAGCAGTTGGGCCTGCATTCCTTGGCTGTAGATGGAGGAGAGCATGCAGAAACCAAGAAACAGCATGGGATGAAAGTAAGAATAGCAGGATGCTGGAAAAGGAGCAGTGGGAAGTTGCTCAGAAAGGCTCCTGGAGGCAAAAAGTGCTGCAAATGGAGAAATGTAGAAAGGCAGATGCATGCCTTACATTCAAATAACAGCCTTTTTAATGGCTGAAAAAACAGCTCTAGTCTAATATTGAAATCATGCTACACTTTTCTGTATCAGAACATGAGACATCTAATTGCACAGCATAGTAACACAGAAACCTTTGTTACCAAAAGAAACTACCCTAAACAGACCCGCTGCATGAATTTGTAACGCTTTATTTGTTTCTTTTTAATAATATAATTATCTATAGATACTGAGTGTCTAATCTCCATTTACCTAAGTTCTGTGTACAACCCATACAACTCCATGTACCCTAATCCACCCATAATGACTGAATTATTGTTGGTGTTGGACATGTCAAACTGCAGCAGGGAAGCAGTAACACCTGAGATTACGACTTGTTTTCTCCTCTGGTACTTGCAGCTTAATTCCAGGTGAGGGGTAAATGCCTTCCTCCACCAGTCTTCACAAACTTAGGCTGCTGTCCTGGTGACAGTAACCTTTTCTTCAGAGGACTGATCCCAGCTCTCTCTATTCTTTTAACATTCAGGTAGGGATGGGTGTTTTCTTTAGATCAGAGCATTCACCAAGGCAGTGAGACACCCATGTGTCCTGCAGTGTGAAATGGTTCAAGCATGTTAATTAGTTGGGTATGTGCAAGAAGCTTCCTGAATCTATTTCAAAGCTGCTGAAGATGCTACTCTGAAGGAGCCATGGTGCAGTTACTGGAGGTGCTATAGATGTACTGCCCTTCAGCATGGGGGCTCAGGACTCCTGCATTCTGGCTGAGTGCTTTAGCTGGCAAGAGGATGAAGAGGACTTAAAGCTGAGGTGGAGTGTAGCTGTAATGCAGTGGAGTGTTAAGTGGAATGTAAGCATTCATTGCCTCAGGACAGGCACCTATAGGCATATTTAGGAAAATAAAATCCTCAAGAAATTTCAGACAAAGCAGGGATATTCCTGGTAGATCTTGGTCTTGTGCTGATTTCGATCCCCTAAATTAGCTATATTTCTGGAATGAATCTTCCTAACACTAAGCTCAGTTGGTCAGAAAAAAATGACAAAAATGAATTTAAATAAAAAACTAAACTGAAAATATTTTTAATTCATTCCTTCTTTCTTTCCTTTTTATGGCCTCTTATGAATTCGAGCTGTTTCTCAGAATTTCTCTCTGGAGGTCTCTTCTATCTCTCTCCTTAGGTTTCTCAGATTTAGAGAGAAATATAAAGACTATTTTTACTTCTACACAGGGATTAATAGAATCCTGCCTGTCTAGCTGCAGGGTAAATCAGCACAATTTCCCTGTATGCCAAATGCCAGGAGTTTGTCATAGATATGCTTAAGCCCTACCATTAAATGTGGTTTGTAGTACGTGTTGTGTACTATTAGTGGTTAGCTAGGGAAGAATGATACAAATGATGACCAAAAGACTAGTTAAGACCCACTTCCAAATGTCCTGTGACCGTATCCCCAAATTGGCAGCAGATCTGCTTTGCTGATCATAAATGTTATACTATTTGGATGGACTTTTTAAACCCTGCCATTTTGGGGCATTTAAAAATAAAAGGATAAACAAAACCACATCTGGTCTACAAATGTGCGTGTCATGTTTGAGCTTGATGCAGTTTCGAATTAGTTGTTAAACACTGAAAAGCAGGGTTCATAAGGGAAATGCCTACTCAGCTGATTGTAGTGCAACTGGTGTAACTGTAATAGAAGCCAGACACTCCTTGAAATAGCAGACAACTGCGTATGGCTATGGAGGAATAGAGGGAAAGAAAAGCCAGATGGTGTACTTAGCTGCACTTAAAATCTGATTGTGTGTGTCAATAACGAATGCCCAAATAAGATTCTTTCATTTAAAAAAAGAAAAAAAGAATATATGTGCATACTAGTAGAATACATGCAACCCTACAGAAAAAAACCATGTGGATTCCATTGCTGTGATGGTGGTTATTGTAATGACCAGTTAACCTGCATTTGCTGCAGTTGTCTAAATTCTTAAACATTAAATATTTTACAACACAATAACAAAATAACTAAATCATAAGGATAATCCTGACAAACAGAAAATATTTATGGCCCATTTTCTTAGAAATACAAATGGTTGCTTTTGCTTAGGTTGCTGGAAAAAGTTGCTTACTGGATGCCACAGTCTTAAAAAACTTTCCCTTATTTGGATGTTAGAATGAATTTCTGGCAGGGTCATCTGAGTCCTTCATTATTTCTAGGTAGATTAAATGGTTTATTAGGGGTGAAACTTGGGCCTTGTGCTAATCAATGGAAACTTTACAAATCAGCCACAGCATCACACCTATAAATAAACGTTTCATGCAAGACTTTAAAATAAAGAATTTCTGCTATGTATGGAAATTAATGTTTCCCACAGTTACTCAGTCTTATAGAAAGAATTTACTTGGCTGAAGTATGTATAAACAATTAAAGAATAAATATCTCTATAATTCCTCTATATCTCCTCTCCTCCCTCTTCACTTCTTTCTCTCTTTCTCCACAGTGGAGAGATTATGAACCCCTTGCACTGAGTGTATTTACTATTAGCAGCCCCACTGAGTTTAGCAGAAAAGCTTTTGCACTAAGATGTTAATCATTTTAAGTAAAGTCAGCAAAAGGTGGTCATAAATAAGCATCAAATGCTGTGAAACTTAATCATATTAATCAGATTCTTTTCCATGTCTTATCTGTATGTGTTCAGATGGCACTGCATAAAGCTATGCAATGATACTACCCCAGATACACTGGCTAAAGCCAATTTATCAAGTGTTTCTTTTCACAGTGTTTTTTCTCTTTCACAGTGCTTCCACTTCTGGAACTAGCAGAGTTTCTTCTAGCTGGAGAAACAGCAGCACTAGTTGCAGCGACACTCATAGAGTTTGGGCTTTCAAATCTCTAAAGTACTTTTGAAATTTGTATTTAATATTTATTACCCCCTTCAAAGTGCAATTCAGTGGAGTAGCAGAAGAGAATTGGATTGCCTTTCATTAGTTTCCTGACCCCTTATCTAATGTAAAAACCTATTTTAATTGCTCATATCTTTGCCAAATCTTAAAAATCGCCATGTACAGCATTAAATGAGCCCCAATGGGTGTGAGCATTATGACATTGTCTAATTACATGATCACATTTGAATTTTGTTTTAAACTATTTGTGCTCTAGTCTGTGCACAGGACAGAAGGAGCTTAGTTCAAAAGCAAATATTCAATTTTAGTTCTCTTCCCATTGCTCAATATGTCCCCCATGCCTTATTTACTGCATGGTATCCGAACCCTGCTATGAAGATAATTACTATGTCCCTTCCAGGTTTTTTTATGGTTCTTGTTGCTATAGTACCTGAGCATTTAACAAACTTTAATGAATTTATGTGCACAAAACCTCTGAGGTGGGTAGTGGTATTATTCCGTTTTGCATGTACTGAACTGAGACACAGAGAGATGGAAAAAAAAAAGCACAAGCCTTCAAATATGTCAGATTTGAAGTGAGGTCTGAGTTTTTGGTGTGCTTCTTTACATACTAAAAATACTGTACACTTTGTATACCAGAGGTATCAAATCAGTCACCCAGAAAATCAGAAGTGAACAAATAGAGCAAACAAAAGACCAATTTAAGTCACCTGCCCAGTACCTATAGAGTGACATAAATCCAGAGTTCCAGACCATTGCTTAGATGTCTTGCCTTGAGACCATTTTTCTCTTCCTGAATTCTTTACCTGAACAATCCAGCTCTATAGCAAATGAGACACAGGTCTGTACAGCAGGGCAGGTCCAAATCCTTTTCTCAACACACTAGAAGAACACTGCCTGTTCATGTAAGTCAACTGATGATGGGAAGCAATTAAGAAGAGCTCAGCAAGGGCAAGGTTGTGGTAGAGATGGCAAACAAGTTTTCTGCTCTGATGGTCACTGTAGAGAGACTGGAAGGAGACCCAAACCCTTTGAGAGGACTCAGCAAGAAAAGTCTGAAACAAAAGATTTTGTGGAAGAAGTAATTGAATAAAGAGACAGAATAAAATATGTTAAAATATCACTGTGACTGTATGATATTCACTCAAGGGTCTGAACTTGGATGGTATTATTAGCAGTAGTGTGTAACAATTCTCTTAAAATTTCACTCATTTCTGAAGATGGGAGAATGGTGAATGCAGCACAAATTTTTTAAAAAGTTACCAGGGATGATCTCCAAAATTGCAAGCTTTAATTTACCATTTGGTAGATTGAACTGCCAGGAACCAACAGCAGTTCTTTCATAGCGGAACATTAATTTACCATTTGGTAAATTAACAGAAGCCATGATAAATGGCCACAAAATTAGTGGAAATTTGTATAAATCTGACTGACTAGAAGATAAAATACAGTTTGTCTATGGAAGTCCTAATCTTCATGGGAAATGGACATCTCTGATAGGGACAACAAATATGTAATTGTCAATGATCCTGCTGATAACTTGCCTTGATTTCCAAAAGAGTTTTGACAGTGAATCCCTCACTAAAGGATTTTAGTAAATAAAGCAGCCATGGCAGAAAACAGAAGCTCCTAGCTAGGTTTAAAAGGCTGAGAAACAGAAAAAGAGGATAGGAAAAAATACTTGAATTTCAAAATAAAAGGAGGAACTGCAGCACTCTTCTAGTACTTGTGCTGTGAAATGTGTCTATAAGTGACCTGGAAAGCCCAACAAGCCCAAGGTAACAAGACTGGCCCTAGGCTGGCTGTAAAGAATTGCAGAAAGGGATTAAGAGACAAGAAAGTAAAATGGCAGGTAAAATTCTGTGTAGATTAAGTGTTGCATGTAGGAAATAGTGATACTAAATTTACATACTAATTGTCTCTGACCAAGATTGAGACCATGGGTTTTATCATAGCTCCAGAAAAGCTCAGTACAGGGCTTAGAAACAATCAGAAAAACAAACTGGATATTAGGGGAAAATTAGGAAAGGAATTGAACACAAAACCTGAAAACAGTGCTACAGCTCTCTAGCTCTGTTCCAACTGCACCCTGGATATTGTGTGTCATTATTGTCCTTCTGTTTCAGAAGTGCATCGTAGGAAACAAAAGGATATGAAGAAGGGAATTGGGGGCTGATCAGAACGATGTGACTGTTTCTATATTAGAAATAGAAAATGGAGTCCACTTGGAAAATAAGTGGAGAATGGGAAGCAGACATCTTTGAGGCCATGAGTGCTGTAAGTAAGCTATGGCCAGGAACTGACAGCAGTTCTTCCATAGAGGAACAAAGGGGTCATCACAGATCTTCAGCTGCAACGTAATAGACCTGAAGAACTGCTCACTGATGAATGTTGAGTGCCTGAGAGAAGACTGGGGAAGAGCTTGGAAGAAGGATTTGTTATGGGTGACAAAACAGAGAAAGTATAGCAGGCTCAGGACTTCTGTCTGGAAAGCATCACTGGAGAAAGACTGCTGGGAGAAAAACTGGTTGTACTCACCCTGCGTGACACTTTGCCCTGGGTGCCCACCTATGGCACAGCTGCAGGAGAAGTACCAGGCTGGCGGGAGCCTGCTTCTGAACCAGCATGACTGCTCTTATATCCTATCTTGCTGTAAAGAAGGCAACAGTTTCAGGTATGTGGTTAGGTACCAAAATGAATAATGCAAAGAAGCTGAATTAGGTCATCTCCTATTCTCTGATTATAGGATAGAAGAATGTCTGATTACGGTGTCCTGGGACTTCTACAAAACAGGTTTAAAAAATCAATGCCTTTTTATGTTTTGAAAATGAACTGAAATTGAGAAATGAAACCAGCACATTTAAAGGTGCTGAGACTGATTAGAACATTTTCAGTTTCTCAATTTGAAACACATACCATGGAAGCTGAGAATCTGTTTAGGGACACCACTGTATCTGAGAAATGCTCACATCCACACTACACACAGGATGTTGTGGGAATAGATGATGAGCAATCCAAAGCTGATTCAAGTCAAGGGAGAAAGCAGACATCAGTCAATAGCTGTAAGTAAATTAGACCTGGCACCTTAAGTGCCTTAAATGTTAGAAGTTAAACCTGAAATGGTATCCTGATTCTTAAAGGAAGGTGGTAAATGACTTACTGAACAAATGGGTGACATAATCAGAATGAGTAACACTGCTGAATCTTGAACAGAGTGCAGAGTCTGAGTGTAAGGAGTTAGGAGACAAGGCAGGAATGGATGGTGAGTTTCCAAATACACGTCACACAAAACACAAATTGCATAAGAGGAGCAGTAAGGAAGAGACCTATTTTGGGACTATCTTCACTGGGCATACTAAATAAAATTACAGTTCTCAAGCAACTCACCTAATGCATTTTTTTTTTTCTGCTATCACCAGTATATACAACAAAAAACACGAATACAACTACATAAAATAAAACAACTGTTTCCTCAAAAATGGAGGAAGAAACAAAATAGATTTATTTTCCTTTAAAAGAATCTCCCATTATTACCTTCAGAGTGTTTTTTTGATAGTGAAATGAGTGATAAGATGGTTCTAGATGAAAAAGAAAGCCTTTTAATTTACTAAGGAAAAGACCCAAAAGGCTGCTGTGATTGGCATTGTTGAAACTTACTCTTCTGTAATTGACTTGGGTCTAATCTAACTTTTTTTCTCAACATTATTGTTGGTCACGACAATAAAACAATATTAATCACTCCATGAAATACCATAGATTTGATCTTTTTTCCCCCAGAAAATAAAGTAGATGGACAGGAGGCAAAGATCACACCATCAGGGAAGAAGAATTAATTCATACAAGTAAATCAGTATGAATATTTTATGGTCACTTTTGATTATGACCTTAGGTTGTCCCACAGGTGTGCAAATGACCTTAATTTTGAGGTTGACTTCAGATTGCCCTCCTGTCATATATAACACCAAAGACTATTCATCAGCAATATGGGAATTCTAATATGAACTGTTTTGCAGGAAGTCTCTCTCTCCTTCTTGGGCATATTCTTTCCTTTTGCACTGAAGAGAGGGAAGAAAAAAAAAAAAAAGAGTTGAGGATAACCAGCTTTCAGGAAGCTCAGGTGTAAGCAATTCTCCTGTGCTTCCCACCTGATTGGAAGGGGCAAACCTTGGGCTCATTTAAGAGCTAGCCTCCAAAAGGTGAATGTCTTCTGGATGAGAGTTGTTTTTTGAGAAGTAGTATTCTATAGCTAGAGAGACTATCATCATTTGGGTAAGTTAAGATTTTCAGTGTATGCTTATTGATGTCTCTGATAATGCTTTGAAAATATTGCAAGGATCTTATCAGAAGTAAGTACTGATTTTTTTTGCTTGGTTTTTAATAGAGTTCTTAGACCAAGAGTCTTTAAACTCTTGTTGCTGTTAATAGAGTGTCTTTAAGGGAGTCTTGTGCTACGCTTACTGACCTTACCTTGATTCATGAAGGCTAATGTATCTTTGTACCCTCTAAGTCACATAGGCTGCTTTCCACTACATTGGGTTTTAGCAAGGTAGGGGTGGAAGGTGCTATGCAGGATGGATCTAAGCACACTGCCAAAGGCATTTCCAGTACAGTATCAGAGAAATGGAAAGCTGAGATCATGCTATGACCAGTTGTATTGACTATACAGGCTGCTTTCTTTCATACCCACTGTGGTATTCAGTCAGGCCTTTTGGAATTAAATTTCCTGTCATGTTGATTTATTTTGCATTCATCAAAAGGGGGCAAAGATTTTTAGGTAACTAAAATTGGAGATATATTTTAATTTCACACTTGAGCGTGGGAATTGCATCTTTTGTGAAGCTGGAAACTTACTGCTATCAAAATTTCAGTTTCCTACTGACAATATCATTAGCTCATATTAATACCCTTTCTTCTCTCAGTGAGGATTATGTATACTAAAGCCTGTGAATCCGCATTGCTTTATGATGTAGAACAAAAACAGAACTGTAAACAGAGCATCAATTCTCACTGCAGACATCTGACGCAGGACTATTTAAAAGTTTTTTTAAATGCTTCTGTTTCTTCTACCTATGGCATTTATGTAGTGAATGGACACTTGCAGCAATCTTGGCTCTTTATTATTTCTCCTTGCCAATGTTATTTTATATCAAGATTATAAATAGTCTCTTTAATATATATTGTAAAGTCAAGTATTAAAGCTTATACATTATACATGTTTATTCTAAGTGAAAGTTATTTTGGTCTACCACAATGTAAACTATTATCCTCATAATTTATATTTTTCCTGTTGATATCTTCATTTCTTCTCTTTTATAAAGGAAAATGTAAATAAAGTTCTTTAAATAAGTTGTATCTTGATTAAAGTTTACCCAATTTTCTCATACAATACTATTCTTTTTTCTGGAGGGTTTTTTTGTTTGTTTGTTTCTAACCTAAAATAATAAACCATGAGAATTAGCTTGTTTCAGAGCTTGTGTGGAAGCCTTCAAATATCTTTAAGGTGTTACAGGAAGATTGTGGCTTTTCTTTAATCAATGAATGGTTCTTATTCAACTTCTTTATGATGTTTTTGCAAGATATTATTGTATTCATACAAGACAAATCCCAAAAATAAGCTCTTAATGCACTTCATCAAAACATCAATATTTGTATGCTTTTTTCCAGGTTAGACTGAAAATTAGGGTTGTTCAGATGTGGAACTGCCATGAAAAAGCTTCTTGTGTAATTAGTCTCTGCTACCTTATCCTGCCATTCTTTCTCCATTTGTTTGTAACTGTTGAAACACCTGCAATGTGTTTGTTGATTCTATGAAGGAAGGTGAAAAAACTGTGAGGTTGTCTTTTTGTACTATTGGTGGAGCCGCAGAATGAATGCTCTGAATTTGCAGAGAAGAATTGGCTTCTTCTAATCTGAGAGATTGGGTCTTCTGGATCTGAGATTTGGAAGCAGAGACAATTACCACTCATCCAGAACTGGATGCCAAGATACTCTTGCAACTGAGCCTGAAGTTTTCTCTCTCCTTAACACAAAGGATGGCTTAGCTTGTTAGCACTGAGAAGGCATGTAGCATTTATTCCTTCACATTTTCCGAGGAGTCCAGAGGTTACAGCTGAAACCTGAAGGTTACAGCACCTGTTCTAGAGGAAGCCCCACATAATCTAGGAGCTCTCTACAATTATGTCAAGGTTTTCTGATGACTAATCATTTTTTTTTTTAAATCTGTATCTTTGGCAATGGGAACCTTTTAAATTGAACATCCCTTAAAGACACATTTAGATTTAACAGTAGGCAGGAGGTCTGTGTACAGAAACTTCTCTTTTGAAAGTGGCCTCAGATTCTTAATTCACTCACTTTTGAAATATGATTTTTTTTTTCTTTCCTTTCAACTCTTATGTTGCTCCATAAGTAAACTTAAAACTGAAAGAATTTATAACACAGTTACATCACAAGTACAACTGGTTTGATTTCTAGCCTACATGTAAAAGCTGAGTAAAACTTCTAACACTGTGAGGGTGGGATAGGGAATCAGACTTTATCTACCTGTGCTTTTTGAAGACCAACTATTCTATCTTACTGAAATATATAATCTTGGTATGCCAGACATCAGTGCTATGAAACATCATCTGCACCCATTTCTTTATATTATAAATCCTAGATTAAAGAGTAGTAACAGTTAAAAGAGAATAAATTGTATATTACTTAGCTGTATATGTGGGTCTGATTCTCATTCTTACTGTGATCCCTTTATAGTGGCAGTAAAGCATGGTTCTCAGCTGGATGCAAATTTCTTCTGTAAGAAGTTCTACTTCACACTAAACTTGTGCTCCTTGAGAGCATAGGCTGTTCATATAAGAATCATTATTTGTTACACAGGTATGTATATATAGTGGTAATTGTTTACATGAATACAAGAGAGTTCATATAAAATAAAAAGGTACGTGAGACTTACCTGTATCAAAACACTGTCTACGTGATATTTGTAAAAACTTTTTCATACTTTGTTCATTGCGTTTATCTTCCAGGCTATCTGGGAGCAGTGTGAGCTTGATTTGCGGAAGAAAAAGCCACCTATCTGTGGTCAGAAGCAAGTTGTGTAAGGTTGAGATGGTTGAGTTTGGACGTTTCCTAGCTGTATTCAGTAGCTCCTAAACAAACCAGCAGAAGTCACTAACAGTTCTGGGCAAACTACTAAATACACACCCTGGGAGTGAAAACAAGTTGTGTCTTACCTTCAGAGAAGCCTGCTCCATGTGTTGTTCATTTTTTAAAATTATTTTTAGTTAACCTGACTCTAACTATAAACTCAGCCACATATATCACAGTGTAATTGTATTGCACAGATACAAGACCTCTATGAATGGGTAAACTGAGTCCTACGCGTTCAAAGTAGTGTTCTTCAATTCACTGCACTGATTCATCAATTGAACACAAGCCAAAGGCCATTATAGTGGAGGAGTTGTTGTTTATAACTTCATCTGGGCCTGTACCTGTTACGTGGGAGGCTCCTACAAGCCCTTTTAAGTTGTATTCTTCTTATATTGACATCCCCCCTTTCCGTATGTTTTTTAGACACTGCAATATGAATTATGCTTATTATGGATATGACAGCCAAATCTATTTTGCTCTTACAAGCGATGTGCCAAGACAGCCTCTGTTCTGTCAGTAAGCACTGCCAAAGTACAATTGCATATGGCAGCAAACCTTTTTCAAGTTAAAACAGAAATGCTGAAAACTGACTTGACTAATCTATCAAAATTGCTTCCTGACTCTCCTGGGTTTTTTTTCTGGCTGCTACAAGACATCCTTCTACAATGCAACTGGAAACTCTTTGGAACTAAGTCAATATTTTCATTCATATTTCATGTTAACACTGGACCCAAACACTGTAAGGTGCTAAATCTTTTTGAAAGGGTGACAATCAGTGGTTTCCAACACAGAGACTGTGGTCTAATGGTGTGCTACCATGATCGTGGATTTTGTGCAACTACTTATATAAAATTGGTCTGAAGTACTATTAGCACAATATTGACAGTTTATCCTTATTCTTCCTTCTCACTGTATATAAATGCACCTGTGAGATCAGTGAAGAGAAAGAATAAAGGAAGAATAAGTCTCAATTCCTTTACTTTCCACCAAATTTTAATACTTCTTTCCTCTGTCGTTCTCACAGAAGCTCAGTTGCTGGATGAAAGCAGGCCTGGGGCCTGGGTGAGCTCCATGGCTCACCATGCAGGAGAGTTGCTTTGCTCCATTTCTCTTTAACACTCATGTTTATCCCTGTCTTCGTTCTAAGAACCAGATGGCTCAGTGCTGTTGTCCTTCCACCACTGGGAAAATATTACTCAGCAGTTCCATGCTTTATGAGGCTGACTTGAAAAGCTTTCTTCTTCAGGAATTGTTTGCTATGTTGCTTTCTAACTGGATTCACTGATAAAAGCACTTCAGTACCTTTAGATGCTCATGAATGCTGCTGCCACATTTCTTACCTCCACTAGCTCTATTCAGTATACAAAGGGCTCCTTTTTATCATCATCTCATAGGTTTCTTTTGTATAGCAAATCAATTAGTTAAACACGCTTTCACATTGTGTAGATTAGGCATCCTGCTAGGTAATAGCTGTTTTTTGAATGTGAGTGGATCCTGAATTTCTGTGATGGAGTAGCAGTGACATTTCTGACAGGCAATGACACTGTAATATCACATAACTGGTACCACGATAAAGGCTTAAGTTACTTTTCTTATTCTGAAGTTTCTTGTGCAAGAATGAAAAAGCCACGTCTGTCTGGCATCGCGTTTAGTTTTTGAAATGAGTGTTTTTTAGGTACTGTTGTCTGCAACCCAAATCCTTAGCTAGTACAAATCATCATAGGCTCTATTTTCTTCAAATATAATACTGATTTACATTAGTCAAGCATCTGTAAAGAGTAACCACTATAAAGCAGTGAATTTCTGAGTTTTATTAATTTAGGTCATGATCCAGCAGCGTTTCTTATAACCCTCACCTTAAAGTTTTTCTGAGATCTAGGAACTAGAAAACTAGATGTACGTGATCCCTGCATGGGAATACCTTGAGTGGACAATCCCACTTTTTTTTTTTTTTTTTTTTTAAATCTCAATAGTAGTATGAGATTGAGTGAGTAATAAAGTGCTTTCTCTGGGGCTTTGTGGCCCCAGATCATGGATCCAGGATGAGAACAGAATATCCTTCTACCTTTGTTTATCAGAAAATTCAGCCACAATTATCTTTACCTTAAATGTTCGATTTCAGGCATGTGCCCTCTGAAATCAATGTCAAAACTCTCCTTGGCATGAATCAGGAGCAGGACTAAGTCAGCTGACAGCACTGCTCCTGCAGTAGGGTTGTGCCACTAGATTAGAGAATCCCTAAATTGGACAGGTCTGCCCTGTGTCTGGCCGTTACTTGGCAGACATCAGAGTGCTAAGTTTAGCTTTGTATTGATTGTAATTTGCTGTGGGATGCTGGGCAGGGAGGAAGATCTAGAAATGGAAGATTATAATGTATTATTGCATTTACAGCATTGATAGTATTGCGAATCGTTCTTTAACTTCTACAGGAATATTTTGGGCACAGACATAAAAATACCCAAAATAACAGCCTTGCTCATCATTTAGAGAGACAGAGAAAATGTTAAAAGATATATTGTGTAATAGAGGTTTTTTTTTTTTCATAAGTTGGGAATAGTTTAAGATTCTCCGAACTCAATTTTTTTTTCTACCTGCATTTCACATGAACTGAATTCTACAAATTTGCATTAATAGATTTTTTGGAAGCAACTGTTGGTAAGAGATGAAGAATTACAAAGCATTTGTAATTACTTGAAGGAGTATCTGAAAATGCCAGAGCACTTAACTTTGCTTAAATAAAGAATGTGTTTCTGAAGAGTAGTGGAAAAAGCCCTTGTAAGTTTCCAGAAGACTTTTCAACAGCTCTACAGCTGTAGATGCACAGACCAGGAAGTGCAGAGTTATACCAATAGGGTATGAATGAGGAACTAGAGATTCTTGGTAAAGAATCTCTAGTAAGGTAAGGCATATGATTCAGGTGAAATTATGCAGGCTTTCCCTTCAATTGAAGTGTAAAGACTAGTATTCTGTCATGGGGATGATAAAGCTGGGGATAATCACTTTTGCTTGATTGCATAATTACTAATACAAATATGGATATAAATCCTAACATCTGCATTGGGAAATGTAGGTGAGGGTGAGGACAGAAAACATTAACTGTGCAGTTCAGTAGAGGGATAAGCAAACTGCGTAGATGTTGTTTCTTTGCCTAGATACTTCACTTCACCAAGACTGAAGTAATTTTAATTTCCCAAAGATGCAAAACTGCTTTAGAATTCCATTTGAAAGAAAACTTTAGAACTTAAACTAAGCACAGCCAAGTACAAGCCCAGTTTTAAACTGTTTGTTGTTTGTTGTTTCTTTCTTTCTTTCTTTCTTTCTTTTTTTTTTTTTTTTTTTGTCAGGCAGACCCTATTTACTGCAGAGTGAGGAAGCCTAAGGGACGTGTTACATTATAGGACAGCTATCCATTTACCTGCAAGGGTTTCAACTGCTCCAACCTTGAGTACAAAGCAATACGATCACATCCGTGCAGTACTGCATACAGAGCATCTTTTCCAGCTGGGGCTGACCAGGCATTACCCTTAGAAACTTGTGCTGGTTGTCCCCATTCAATTTCTGGTCCTTCATGTGTGAGGACGTGGCTTTCAGATTTTGCTCTTCTATTTTCCTGGAAACTGAGGTTAGGATGACTAGTCTGCTCTTCAAATCTTCGTTCTTGCCCATATGAAAGACTGATATTATGATTGCCTTATTCCAGATGTCAGGAACTGCCTTTGATTGTTGTGATCTTTTGAACATGACAGAGACTGGCTTTGTGATGATTTTGGCTAGCTCTTGTGTCCACAGCATTCTATCCTATAAACGTCCAATTTACTGAAGAGGTCCTAAGTCCACTTCTCCTTGTGTGTAATGCCTTCCTCCTGCAGAGTCTTACAAGTCATATTGCATATATACATATATATATATATATATATACATATATATATAAAACCTTTATCAGTAAGGGCTGAAGCACTGAAAGCATTGAGTATTACTTCATCTTATTCCCCATCACTCTATCCTCTGCCCCCTTGCTCTGTGTGTCCATGTTTTCCTTTGTTTTACTTTTGCTGATGATTTGCTCTTGAAGATTTTATTCTTGTCTTTCAGCTCACTTACTAGTTTCCACATCAGTTGAGCTTTGGTCTTTCTAATTATATCCCTGCAGATTTGGGCAACACCTTGATAGTCCACTTGGCTTGCTCATTCCTGCTTCCACACTATAGAGCTCCAAGGACTTGTATAGCTAATAGAATGAATTGTTGTGTACTGTAGAAGCTTTCCAGTACCATTTTCTAGGATCAACTCTAATCATTTCTGGTCACCCTGTAAATGAGTCTAGGTGCTGCTGTCCTGTAATTGTTGCCATCTTGCAATCAGCCTATACAGAATCCCCAAATTTAATCCTAAATTCTAGTCTAAAAACCAGGAGGTGGATCCAAGCTGTTGTTTTCCTTATGGTGAATATTAAGTAGCTAATTAGCAAATAGTTGATTGCTAGAACAATCATTCTGAACAAATACTAGTTTTATATGCGAGTTGATGATCTTTATCTGGACAGCTCTTTCTAGATGCGTGGGTCAAATGATGTTAAGTTCTTTGCTGGTAAGGAAGGTAAGTTGGAAGTTTCCAAGAAATTATGCAGGTATACATCAAGCACATGTACAGCACAGATTATATAGGATGAAACTGGTGGAACATACAGTATTTGCGTGCCAGATGTTAACTATGCATTATACATAATAAGGCTTCCTTTCCTTGTAGTGGTATTCAACAGTAACAAAGAGTCTTAAGTTAACAGTAAGAGTCTTAAGTTAACAATAAGAGTCTTACGTGCTACAGTAGTGGAAGCCTACTGTGCTATTTCAGAAGGGAAAAATGGATGGCCGTATATGAAGTAGAGAGTAAAGAAACCTTCAGAGATATAAAGGAACTAAGCGCTGTCAAACATGGTTTTGAAATAAAACATTTCCACTCTCCCCCAACTTTTTCCAGGGTTTTTGCACTCAGATAATGTAGATGCTTAAGGTACAATAATAACATCTTTAGAAGATTGTTAGATTATATGAAAGAGGAAATAGTAATATACGTACAGAGAGATACTGAGAAAGAGGGTATGTGGTTTGAGTCAGAAATCCTCTGATCTCAAAAGAAGCAGA